AAGCAAAGAAACGACACTTGTTGTACGGACAATTGCAAAATAGCTTGCCAACGGTTTCTTTCGTAGGGCCAACAACTTTAATGAGAGCAAATGTGTTGCAATAACACTTAGGATGCTTATACCTAAGATCCAAACTCTCATTCCTTGACATCTTTGATTTTTGGGAAGCCATCTTCTACATGGAAAAGAAAAAAAAAAATGGGACAAAAACAAACCAAAAACTTATTTTAAATTATAATTCGAATATGCCCTAATTTGCAAAATCAAAGATGATTTCTGTAATTCGAAAATGCCCTAATTAAAAAAAATGTCCTAATTTGAAAAATGCCCCAATTTGAAAATGCCCTAATTCAAAAAATGCCCTAATTCGAAAAATGTCCTAATTCGAAAATGCCCTAATTTGAAAAAATCGGGACTAACAAACCTGATTTCTGTAAAATGAATTCACAAACAACAAACCTATACTGAGCCTCAACAAATTGAAACCCTAATTTCAAAAAATGATTTCAATTCGTAAATGACCTAATTTGAAACCATAATTTCAATTTCGAAAATGCACAAAATTAAGGTTTGGATTTCTGAGGTTTGGATTGCAAAAGCTTACCTCAAAGCGATTTGGATTGCGAAAGCTTACCTCACAGCCTTGCGATTTGAAGAAAAAAAATTGGACGAGCGTGAAAGAGGATTTCTGGTGCGATTTGATTTCAACAAAACCCTCAGCCGAAAGAGAAAGAGGAGTTCAATTTAATTCAGCTATTAAGGGGCAAAATAGTCATTTCCTTGAGTTTATGGCGAAAAATGGAGAAAAAGCCGCACCACACGCGCGTGAAATGCACATCCGTCAAGTTAGACGGATTAGGGGATAACGCGCAATCAAAAGTATAATATAAGGGGGTATGACGCATTTTTTAAAATACAGGGGGATAAGGCGCAGATTTAGTATAATAAAGGGGGGTTTGGCGCAATTTACCCCATATTTATTTAGAGAGTATTCAATTGAGATTATTTTATTATTATTTTTTTTTGGATAATAACTAATAAATAATTAGCAGTTGAGTTAGGAATTGATTCAGAACTTAAAAATAGACTGAGCTAGAATTTAAAAAAAAAATTAGTTTTATAAAAATCATAATACTTCTTTTTGAAATATTTATTGAAATTGTGTTCGACAAACTTTTACAGAATAAAATTCATCAATAATGGAATAACTTGTATTACTAGTAAACTCGCGTTCGATGAACAACATCAAATAATTTCGAGAAAATCATCCTCAACCTTATTACAAAGTACTGTCTTCGTATGATTCATGTCTGAAAAAACTTGTTCGATCGTAGCAGTAAATTCCAATAACGTCAGTACTAAATGGATCAATCTAGTTAACACATCAATCAATGTTCATGGATCAATCTAGCTAACACATCAATCAATGTTTTTCTTTCTTGGCCGAAAGTTGGTGGTCTATGTGAAGTTTCAAATTTTTCACAACACCAATAAGTTGATTTTCTACATGGCATAGTTATTGGTAAAATGAAATGCTAACACATCATAAATTTAATTCAAATATGATATACAACAACCACATTAGAGGATAATAAGACTTTAAAAAGATTACTACTTCATGCACCATCGACAAACCAAGAATTGCAACCAACTGATCCTAGCAATTACTGTCAAATTCCTAAATAGATCGACTACCATGAAATGAGAAATAAAGACTATTAGACAAATCAAACAAACTTCAATAGGAAATTTAAAAATATAACTTACTATTAAAGAAGAAAATTAAACCGTCTTGCTTGATGATAGTCTCTTTTTGGTGAATATCTTAAAATTTGTTGAATAGCTTAAATCTCTTTTGTATATAGTATGTACTATATAGTGGTGTTCTGTGAGTTAGTAGAAAGCGTCAACCATATATAATATTTTATTAGAGAATGGTGTTTTAAACTTAAATAGAGAAGTAAGTTAATTTGGTGGGTTAGTGGAAAGTGTCAATCATATACAACATATTATTGGAGAGTGATATTTTGGGCTTTAATAAATAGGTAAGTTAATTTTAAACTAGTTGAATTATTGGGTTGAGCCCAGGATAATAAATCTTTGAATTTGAAAAGTTAAATTGGTTGCGTGAAAATTTCTAAGCTAGTAGTTGTTAAAAAATAAATAACAGGCCTGATCTTCAGTCAGGCCAGACTAATGGTAGATTCTCTGAACCAAGTCTGCAGTTATGGACATAATATTTCTGGTTAGTCTCGGATATTATATTATTATTTTTCTTGTAAGATATAATTATTTAAAAAAATCACCATTCATCATCATTCACTTTTTTTGTCTTTTCATCTTATTAATATAATTAAACAATAAAAAATGAATGTTCAATATACATTTTCAATCGATATGCAACATTCATCCACTCATATATTTTAAATATAAATTCATTATTCCTCAACTTTTCTATCACATTAATTTTAGTAATTACATTTTATCTCATATCATTTCTCAATGTCAAAAATATTTTACTCTTCATCAAAATAATGTATTGTGATCGAAAAGTTGGACCATAACAAATTACAGATAACTTTAAAAATGAACAATTGTAACAAATTACCGATAACTTTAAATAAATAATGAAATCCTAAAATATTAACTAAAAAAAAAAACATTAAAATATTATATGTAATAATAGTGATATGTATAAAACTTATTTATTAAATGTATTGCATTTTTATTGTTGGTCATGTTTATTAAGTTGTGGGTCACTATAATTTTTTATGTAATGTAATGGCGATTGGTTTAGACCATAATCAATTACACTGATAATTAAAAAAAAATGACCAATAACAAAAGATAAATATTATTATATAGAGAGAACCGGTCAAATTATATAATATCATGTACAATAAATTTTTTTATAATCGATAATAATTTTTTTTATATATAATTGAATTTAAATTTTGTTTAATGTTTGGTATAAATAATTTGATCTCGTATGTGCATGTATACGAGTGAAAGAGTACTAGTATATTTAGAATGGTTAATGATTTGCTAAAATAGTAGGTAAAAATCAGGTCAAATAATGTATGGTTACTGAATAAGAAAACTTTTATCTATAATATATTTGAAATCCCCGCCAAAAATTCTCATCAATTTTTATCTATAGTGTTTTAATTTTCGGCCAAAAACTTATCGTCAATATTCTCCGCTAAAAAATGTATATAAATACGATCGTGATAAATTGTTATCTATCCATATAACACACTTTACCGAATAATGAAGAATATAACTTATTGAAATATTTTTCTTTTATCTATAATGTTTTAATTCTATGCCAAAAATTATCTTCAATACTCTCCACCAAAGGACGAATATAAATCCGATCATCATTGATACAACAACAATAATAGCTCGATGAACTGGTGAGATTGATTAGCATTAGTTAACCAGTTCAGGATAGTCTTAGCTCGGTGATTGGGTTTGACTTCGTTAAGGAGCTCAGTATAGTATTTCGAAGGACAAACCAATTCAAACTGAGAAGTAAGGGGCCAGCCTAGTCGGAGAGCTCAGCTAGGAGAAAGTCTGTAGTGAGGGCACCAAGGTCCGCACTAGGACGCTCAACGACCTAGTAAGAGATACTGTAGATAGGTGCAGTGACCTAAGGACCTAGAAGGTATACATGGAAATGATATACAGGGACAAGTTTACTTGCTAAAGAATAAGAGATCTTAGAGACTTATCATACTATGAAAGGAGCTACGCGAGTATCTCTTTCAGAGTACTAAAACGTGGGGAAGAAGACAACCTCTTATAAGGAGGCTCCCACGTTTTTAATAATTATTACATGCAAACATACTTTGAATATACCAATTTACAATCCCACCATCATTTCTAATTTGATCGTGACAGGCTTTCTGTCTGAACCCTCCTGGCGTGTTTGCAGGCTATCGCAGCTGGAGTCTAGAGATGGTTCGAGACATGACCACTATTATTCCGGTCTATGAATAATTTGCACATCAGTGATCATTTTTATCTATCCGTATGTGAGCTCCGCCAAATAATGAATATAACTTATTGAAATAATTTTGATCTATCCATAACAAATAAAGGGTATAACTTACTAAAATTTAAATATGCAATAATTTATGATTTAATATTTAAATAGAAGATAAATTTATCTTACCAATAGTTTTATCTCTATCCAAATAACATTGTTAAAATTTAAATACTATCTCTTCGCAAAAGATAATTTAAATTTGAACACGAGATAATATCTATTTATGTAGACATTTTTATCTTTTAAATATGAATATATGAACAATTTTATACTGCGGCAGATAATTTATTTGAATATGTTATCAACAATACATATCTTACAACGAAATTACATTGTATCGAAGTATTGAAAGCTATATTATACGATATGTATGTATATAAATCATTTCAGTACATAACATATAACAATTGCGATGTTCTTACACATGCGTTGAAACCCCCCCAAAAAAAAGACGTTACACTGACAACTAGCTCTAGTATATTAAAGTTGTCGGCGTAACGTCTGTTTTGGGGGGTTTCCATTCTTGAAACTTCGAGAAAATCAGACGATATGCCGGTCGGCGTAACGTCTGATTTGTCGGCTTTCAAGTCACTTAGAAAAATTTATGTGATTTATTACACATTTTTCAAGAATAATATAAATAATATAACATCTTAGGTGCTTTTAATATTTTAAATAAACATGTTATATGTTTTTTTTACACAAACTAATTCACGTAGAGAAATTGTATTACATTTTTATTTTTTTATCTTTAGTTCTATAAATATTATTTAACCATACGCTGCCACAATGCAGTCATGTACCGGCCGCAGAACGAGACGCGCAACCTCAATTCATACGCCCGTCGCCTTTCAAATTCGTTACACTGTCGAGCTTCAACTTTCTACTCGCCCGACAGCTGTCAATGGTCAATGTATCCAGTCTCTTTTGACTGGATTGGAGCCGAATTTCATACCGGTACCCGTGTCGTGTCGACACGGTTACGCCAGCGGTAGGCCATAGGTGTCATGTCCGGGTAACATAACACTGGATCAGCATTTTTCTGACATTTTTCGACAGATAGATATCAACATTGTGTTATAAACTATAATATAAGATCTACAGAAGCTTTATCATAAACCACAATACAAGAGTACAGATCTGGTACAAGCCATCACAAGTTCATCATAAGGCCACAAATGGACAACAAACAGGTGACTACACAGTAAACACGGCACAAGAACAGATAAAAGTGCACGCGATCAAGTAAGAGAAACAAGCTTAAAGAAACTCAACACGGTTGCGACCGAATGATAGAAATCTGCACATCTAGTCCTCATCCCATCGTATATCTGAAAGACTCTTCACGCCTAAATACCGAGCGCTCAACCCTTCCATGTCATCATCTTTTTTTTTTTCGAAATCACATAGCATAAATAACCTCACCGCTGCTGTCGACATCTAGGTCTGGATCGGAGTCGAGATCCTCCATGTCATCATCCATCATGTCCATGCTACATATGCCGGCCGGTGGTATGGTGGCCTCCGAGATTATCTGCATGATGGCCTCGAGGCTCTGCATGGGCTGCTCGGGCTCCTCAAACTGGCTTCCATTACTGCTCTCGTCCATTAGATCTGCCGGGAGGTTCTTAAGGAACCACACGTGGTTCTTGATATCCGGCATCGTTATGCGCTGACCAATCACGTGTGCCACAAAAAATGCGTGAGCCCAAATTTTAGTTTTCGGTTTCTATTATATCATTTTTTGGTTGTTAGTGTTTATCCTGTTTTTTCTTAATTTTTAGGAACTTTTTTAGATTTTAAGCTAATTTACAAGTCACTCTTCGATAAAAAGGACTTTTTCCGTGACTGGTTTTATCCTTTTACACTTATCGAAAGAAGTAGAATTTGAGCAGTTACTTTTTAGAAGCTCAATGAAAAGAAAAACGGAATATAGAAATCCACATGTCAATCAGCGAGCAAAGAGGAAATGACTAACTTGTGCAGGATCCGCATCAAAGATCCTCGAAATCAGATGCCAACATTCTTCTGACACGTTAACATTGTCGGGAATAGAGTACTGAACATTTAAGATTCTATGTATAGTCTTCCGAAAGTCCTTGGGTTCAGCAGGATCTTCAAATGGGTAAGCACCAACCAGCATAACATATAAAGTCACGCCACAAGACCACACGTCTGCAATCTGAATAAAAGAAAATTTTACACATGAAAAAAATAATCGCAGTCCATGAAGGAGATTTTTTTTCCCGTACTGAAGTTAGAAGCAATTTCATTCCAATACATAATGAAAGTACAATACAATTTTTTCTTCTTTCTTTTTTACTCAAGAGGCAAATACAAACTTAACCGAGCATATTAACAATTTGCATGCAAGTAAAATATATATTAAAATAAACTCCGAGTTAAGCCAACATTCATCATTTCAGAAATGAAACTCTTCTGTATCTGTGTAAGTCCGTCATAAAAAAAAAAAATAAATAAATAATAAAAAAAAAGATTGTTGAATGATTTATACCTTTCCATCATATTCTTTCTTCAGTAACACCTCAGGAGCAATGTAAGCAGGAGTTCCCACTGTAGATTTTGGTTGTGAATGCAGCAAAGAAGACTGTTAAAAAGTAAAAACACAGTGATAACCATAATCACCCACTGTAGATTTTGGTTGTGAATGCAGCAAAGAAGACTGTTAAAAAGTAAAAACACAGTGATAAGCATAATCAGGAACAAAAGCCAAAGTGTGTAGCATGCTAGGAAGAAAGTCGTTTGTGTTAAAAACTCAATCAGTTAACATTTTATAATTACCTTGGAATACCCAAAATCACATATTTTCAACCGAGGAGCTGGGCTCCCGTCCAACAACGTGTTCTCCAGCTTCAAGTCCCGATGACATATTTGCTTCATCAAAACCATTAGGAAGACCGATTTTATATTTCTACTTTTAGTTTTTACACCATTCTGAATTCTATTGCAATAAATAAGTAAAACTCAAACAACATGATTTTAAAAATGATACCATTGAGTGACAGTAGCTGACTCCGGATATAAGTTGTTGAAAAAAGAAACGAGCCTGCAGCCAAAATGTGCAAAGAGATGAGTACATTGTAATTAAAGAAAACAACTGCCCATAATAAGGAAGCAGAAACATGGAAGATAAAGTTAAGGACCTCATCCTCACTAAAACGTCCCGCATTGCATATTCGCTCAAATAATTCTCCACCAGATGCATACTCCATTACAATAGCCAGATGAGTTGGTGTTAAAATCACCTGAGGCAATTTACTTGAGAAAATTACTGAAAAAAAAAATAAAAAAAATAGGCCAAGTAAAGTCAAGGAAGCCAGTGACAACCTCTTTAAATCTAATAATATTAGGGTGCCTTAAAGACCTGTGGTTGATAATTTCCCTCTGCACATTTTCATCTATCTGCAACAAAAAAAAAAAAAAAAAAAAAAAATGAGAAAGGTTATTGCTTGTAATTGTTGAATGTTGAAGCAACTAATTAAAGGACCCCAAAAAGGACGTGCCAAACCAAAAAGTATAGATTGTCCAAGCTGAACACAACCCTACAACTAAAAAAATTTCACTTAAAAGTAGAATACAAATCGTCAAAAAGCTGCGGGAGCATAAAACTAACATGTATATGCATATATTTTGTGTGTGTCGAAGCTGTAACACTTGGATAAAAGATAAAACCAGAAAGCATTGCATCAAGATATTTCATGATTTATAGGAACAACAAATTAATGCTAACAAAGTAAATATGACATGTCTTCTACATCCTACGCACATTCCCTTCAGAAAACTATACACTTCTAAATAACTCAGATAACACGAGGTGCTGACTTTTGTAAGAGAACCTGCATGTCAGCAAAGGTTAGAATAGTAATTTGCCATCATGGATGTATTACAACAACTTACTTACAACTTAATTACCAAGTGCTCGACTAAAATCATCAAATGCTATTAAACATTAATGTTAAATGTAATGAGAATAATATGTGCATTTCAGAGGATTTGAAACTAGTGCCTCAACTCAGACAAAAGGGACAAAGAAAACTCTTAGAGAGATTAAAAATTTTCAAGTACATGAAGATGTCCTTCTATTACTACCAAAGTAAGATTCAACCTACAACTAATGAGAAACATGCATTGGGAAACAAAAGGCATCCAACTTTAATAAAATAGAAAAACAATCTTAAAGTCACCGCAAAAATCCATGATAATAATGCGTGCTGGATACGCACCAAAAAGAACGAAGTTAGCTCTAAAATTAATTAAACAGAGTTAAACAAACTCAATTATCAGGAAACAAGAAGTTACAAAACTGGCCTGGATGCCTTGCTCGATGTACTTAATTGCAACCCTCTCAATACTCTTTTAATCCCTCATAAGCCTGACTATCCCACAACTACCAGATCCAATATCCATCATAAAATTATATTGACAGCTATCATGTTCAATTGGAAGGGTAATGTGATACTTATTTCTGCCTGAATCCATATGTATATCTAATTAAAACTCGCACTACCACTTTTGACAAATTAATTAGCCCATTAACAGAAATAACAGGCCACCACTTATGACTACCAGTCCATGAAAGAGAACGATCAATAAATTAAATGGACCCATCCTCTGTTTCGAATACAGAGCTAATCGATAGTGTAAATATGTGCTTGGTAACATTTCTAGAGAATGATGTATCTTAATAAGAAGCTCAAGTGTGAAAGAAGCGAGCGATAGATTCTTCAACAAATATAAAAAACCAATAGCCACCTTAGCAATTAAAAGCAGACAGACGAGATATAGTCCTGCTTACAAGCTGGGAAGAGAATAAATACAAGATATGCCAGGTAAGTGAGACTGTTAAAAATGAGATATTTCAAAAAGATTTGAAGAATCGATTCACTAAAATGCCTCGACAGTGTCAGCATGATTAATAAACCATATTCTCCATGGCACATTCATGAAGGTATGAGCTTTATCAAAGACAATAATATCAACTGAAAAAATTTCAATTCCTCTGAAGTCACAGAATCCCAACATGTATTTGTTTCTTGAAGAGATGATTGTGAAAGATTAACTAGATTCAAAAGCACCAAACAAATATAAACTAAAGTATAAGAGCTTCTGAACCTGAGCCAAAAGAAAAAGTTGGTTGCTCGCGATATGCACATTTGGCAGCATTATTCCTCACCAAAATGGGAAAAAAGCTAACTTCCACAAAGACTAATCTCACACCAGCTCCATAAGTCGAGTCATCCGATGACTCCATAGCAAAACCGTTCCCAAGAACAACTTTCCATATTTGCGCAGGCAAGAATAATCATGCTTATCAACTAATTCAGCTTCAATACCAACTTCAAAATAATCCAATAAACTTACCATAAATGGATTTAAAGATCAAATCAGCAGACACACAAGAAAAAAGGGAAAAAAAATAAAAAAAAAATACAAAAAGATGCTTTCTTGGCAATCAATCACTAAAAACTAACCTTGTCCCCTCGCTCAATATACTTGACAGCAACAAGCTCCTTCGTTTGCTTATCTCTCATCAATCGAGCCACACCGAAGTTACCCGACCCGATATCCCGAACGAAGTCGTACCGATCGCTGTCGTGCATGATCGGCATCTCCACACCCGGACCCGCTGTCACTGCCGCCCGATCCATATCGGCCGATAATATCACAGTAGCTTAACTTCGACAGAGAAAATAAAAACTTTAAATTCAGCTGATTCACATTACTCAGCTGGCTAACGAACACCGTGCTGGCCCGCCGGCGGTTGTTCGACGGCTGACCCGATGGGGGGGAAGAAGGCGGAGATGGCGAGGGGTTCGCGTCTTTTTAGGTGGGTAGAAAGGCGGTTGCTTGGGTACTTTTGATTATTTTAATTGGGAGAGAGAGTTAGATATTTTTATGGAGTTTCTGTGGTCGGCTGATGTCTGCGATATTTTCTTTCTTTTTTCTTTTTTAATTATTTTTTATTTGCAGTGTGGGGAACCTGGGGGTGATGGAGAAGACAGTGAAGCTGACGATACGGCGTCATATGATCGAGGCGGGGGAATATCGGGTACGGGACGTCCACCATATCAAGATGCGCCACCTACGTGATTGGCGGGATCTTCCCTTAATTTTGTTTGGAAAATTATATTGTCGCCAACTTAGTGTACAGATAGATTGGCGGAATTTTTTACCATAAAATTATAAAAAAGTTAAGTTGTGGAAAAAAAAATACACAAACAAATGAGAGTGGACCATAATAAAAAGCTCGTATTCAATGAATACGTTTTAC